CAGATCTGCCCATCACAGATGGTCCGCTCGGCCTCCTGAAGGTTTCTCCCCTCCCTGCTATGCACTGTGTCCAGGTGACAGAGCAGCGGTCAGCGAGTAGAGAAAATCAGGGATGCACCACAATTTCTGGCAAAAAAAAAATTGTACTTTTGGCATTTTGCCTTAAGACCCTTTACGGCTGACGAAACATGTTTCTTCGGCCGAAATTTTGGTGGATTCTTAATTGGTGTATATTTTTTGCCCCTTCATGTGGAGTCTAGAACTGGCCAGACCCAATCTAGTACCAGACAGCTCTGTAGCAGAGACGCAATCTCAGTAGTGTCCTAATGCTAGCTGCTGCTAGTCAATTTTAAGATCCCTTTTCACAGAGGCGCCGATCTGCTCTGATCAGCAGGGATCTATACACAGATATACTGCTCATCAGAGCAATACAAACTGATGTCACTTTTGTGACATCCATATCGATTTTACTGATGAGACAGGAGTGTATGAAGGGAAATCTACAATGTAAGCTGCAACTGCACCAAAACGCGAACAGTTCACACTGTCAGACTACCATGATCATTTTCTAAAGTTACTATAGCCGCTAACAGTGTGAAAAGAGGGTACTCCCATAAGCTAACCTCCACTCAAGCCTTCAACATTTCAGGGGTATGGAAAGAAAAAAAAACTACTTGTCCAAGGACCAACTAAAGCAGGGGCCCAATCTACTTGTCTGGATAAAAAAATAAATTTATCAAAACAATGCAAGTACAGCACCTGATCACACAAGAGACAGAAAGTATCTTCTCTGGATGGCTCCCCATCGTGAAGTCATTTGCTGTGGTCCCAGGTCCCCCAGAAGAGTGGAGGACCCTGAAAGCCCCCATTGGGAGGGCAGGGGCATGGGACAAGCACACTGCTACAAGTTATCTAGGTGGCCGTACAACCATCCACATCACTTGTACAAAAAGCAGCGACTCTCCTACTCTACATTTAGCACTGTTTGCCTGCAGCAGGGCTAAATGTAGAAAAAAAAAAAACACACAACTTGCCCAGAGCTCCATCAAGAACCAACCACCATTTCAAGTACATGGAAGAAGAAGAAAAAAAAAAGTAATCAACCAAAATCTCCTTCCACTAACAAAGCACAACAGAACTTTCTTAAAACAGATTTGCTTTGGTCAGATGCAAAAAGTGCTACAGATTCAGCCATCTACGCTAAACTGTGTGGATGGAGGAATCTCCCACTGGGCCAAGCTTGAGTATCTTGCCAATTGGCCCAGCTGGCTCTCAAAACACCTGCATCCAATCAGATTGATCAGGTATTTTGACAGCCAGCAGGGCCGACTAGCAAGATACTGAAGCTTGGCCCAGTGGGAGATTCCTCCATCCAGTTTAGCGTACATGGGGGAATCTGTTGCACTTTTTCCATCTGACCATAGAAAATATATAGATGTATGGCCAGCTTCTCACCCAACAGCCAACCTCATTTGGCCCAATGAAAAGGCAGGTATTTTCATATAGAACAGATTGTGTACCTCTGCGAAAAACTAGCAAGATTATGGAATTTGGGCCAGCAAAAACAAAAATCTATACTTAAAAAACAAGCACATCAGCTGTAACTGCATGGCAGATTTGCAACACAGAAATCCTATAAGGCGCCCACTCTATCCGAGTCTGTCTCCATTCCCAGAACTTCACAGTGCAGCCCACTGGGAACGGCATTCTTTCCACAATCATGGAAAAGTCCCAATATATTCTACGGCAAGGCCATCAACCTTTGATAAATACAGTCTCTAAAGGAACTAATTGAGAATCTTTGCTGAGGAGCGGGAGCATTTGAAGGATTACCGTAATACAGGAGGCAAGAAACCATCCGATCTACAGTAGCAACCTAAAAATTGTCTCGTCAGTCAGGAAGGTTATGAAATAAAAAAATAAGTCTGAAGGGCAGATTACCTGGTAATCATTTCTTTTAATATTGGGGACATCCATGTTGTGGGTAGATGGACAGATATCTTCATACTTCTTACCACTAAAGATATCAATACCAACAAGGTGAACCTGCAAAAGAACAAAGCATAAGTGCAAGAACAGAAAAACAAAATTTTTTTTTTTAAATAAAATGCTATAGTCCTAAAAAGCAAAAGCTATAGTGGAAATTGTTCAAGTACTTCTATCATGAGACGTATGAAGGCATCCACTGCAAACCTTTGTTTCTAAAGTGCTAGATACCTAAAAGGCATACCGCGACTGGCCTAAATCCAGGGAAATTGTTATATCCCTTGAAGAGGAGACACCCCTGCGCTGCAGGGGTTAACGGCTTCTTTATGCCTACATGAACAGGGGGAAAAAATTACCTGATCCCCACTCACCTGGAAGTCGGTACTCTCCTCTTGCTGCAGAATGTCACTTGGCCTCACGTACAATGCAGGACTACAGAGCCTACTTTTACTTGGACTTCAGAAGTCCTTAGAACGCCAGGGCAAAGAGGCCACAGGTACCAGTCTAGCAGCCCGGAGAGAGACCGCAGGAATCAAGTAAAATAATCTTCCTGTCCCCTAGGCATGAGCAGTTAACCCTTACAGTGCAGGGGCAGCTCCACCACAAGGGAAACAGCAATTTCCATGGAGTTAGGCTTTAAGAAATTCAGACTTCATTGCCTTACTTGCTGCATACCTCTTGTTAAGGTCAAAGTGTTTTAGGAACGCATTAACAGCTGGAATATGGTCCTTGACAGGTGTACTTTAATGCAACAAACTAGGATTGGCAGTTGTAGGGGAACATGAAGTTAGAAAACATCTAATTGCTGCACATTTCAATTCACATAAATTCATGTTGCACTGCAAAGTTTATCAGGCACCAAAGCCAGGTTTTTAACTGACTGGCACGATGTGCTGTATTGCTCCAATATTAAAATCATTTTGTGAAAGATATAGCGCATTAGATTCATCTCACTGTTTAAACCCTTCAAATGAAAGTATTTGGGGCATTCATAAAAGCAATGTTCTGTGCACCATAAATGTGGCACACCTTCATTAGTTCTGTCCTAGTATCTTATCAATTTCCTCAAGATTTGACTCCTGAGGTATGGAGTGTCCTGCATCCCCCCTCAATGACTGTTAGGGAGTACATGCATCTAGGCCTACGTTTTCCAGGTTTCAAAAAATTATATGGGTACACTGAACATATTCCAATGACATCTACTATCCAAGGAGGGGCTACAAGTGCACTTAGCTTTTTGCAGCATGCGTGTTAACGCAATCAAATGCTACAAATAGAGCTGCAACAGTTAAACGATTTAGTCGATTAAAATCGACGATTGAAAACGTTAACATAACTAATCGATTATGAAAATAATCGTTAGCTGCAGCTCTAGCTACAAACACTACATTCATCAGGTATCTATATAGGGCTGCAACAACTAATCGACATAATCGATTGGAAAAGTTGTCAACTTTTTCAATCATCGATTAATCGGCTTCCGATTGGTTGGCCCTGTCGACAAGCACGGCCGCATCCACGCGCCGCACCTCCTCGCACTCACCCCCCGCCCACATCCACGATCGTCACAGGGACGCGGGGAGATGTAGTAAGGAGGAGCAGGTGTGAGGGGATGACGGCCGCCGATAGACAGGCCCGATCTCAGAAACAAGTTGCTGGAAGACTGCTCAGGTAAGCCTGCACTTTCCCCCCCACATGGTTCTCTAATGTATTGCTGGGATAGTGGGATTAGTATTCCTCTATAGCTGATGGTACATTCTGCTGTACTGTATATTATACAGAGCAATATACCATCAGCTATAGAGGAATACAAATCCCAGAAATACATATGTATAATGTATTGCTGGGATTTGTTGTATTCCTATAAAGCTGGTGGTATTCTGCATTGTGCTGTATAGAGGTCTACAAAACCCAGCAATAGTACATTATACAGCGCAATGCAGAATACCACCAGCTATAGAGTACAACAAATCCCAGCAATAGTACATTATACAGCGCAATGCAGAATACCAACAGCTATAGAGGACTACAAAACCCAGCAATACCGTGTTTCCCCGAAAATAAGACACTGTCTTATATTTTTTTTGGCTAAAAAAAACACACTAGGTCTTATTTTTTGGGGTAGGTCTTATTTTTATTTTTTTTTATGTATAACAATCCAAAGTTAATGCAAGTCCAAATTAAATAATCCAAAATGGCAAGTTAAGAATAGGGTGATCAGGGCAATCAGGGGTGCCGTACCTTTCCATTCATTGGCACCTTGATTCTCTCCCGCGGCTCTTCAGGTTCCCCCTTATGCCACCACCAGCCCTGGCAATGGTCACACCTAGGTCTTATTTTCGGGGTAGGTCTTATATTTTAGCAATTCCCAAAAATAGTACTAGGTCTTATTTTTGGGGTAGGTCTTATTTTCAGGGAAACAGGGTAGTACATTATAGCTGACGGTATTCTGCATTGTGCTGTATAATGTACTATTGCTGGGTTTTGTAGTCCTCTATAGCCGGTGCCATTCTGCATTCATTGCTGTATAATTTTACACTTTTCATTTCACTATATTGCACGCCACACATTTTTTTTTCTTTTTTACTTCCACCACTCCAAGCTTGCTCCTGTGATGGACTAAATCTCAATACAAACTAGTAGTCCCATCACTGGAGCCATTTTTTAAACATTTATTTTTTATCCGATTAATCGAACTTAATAATCGGCTAACTAATCGATTTTGAAAATAATCGTTAGCTGCAGCTCTATATCTATAGCTTTCATTTTTTACATGGGGAAACTACCATTACTCATTCCATAAGAAGGCAGCTTCATATTTCTACAGCCTTTATTCCTTCTAGTGTATCTGGAAAGATCTCCCAACTATGCAGCCAGTGTCACTAATCCTTCAGCAAAAATGAAATGCAATTAAAATACAAAGTAACCATTCAATAACAGAGTCACACAATACTACTTCAATATCTGAAAACCCAAGTCTACCTTGTAGCCACTAAGCATGAAATGAATTACACTTACCTTGGCATGACCGTGCTTGCCAGTCTTGGAAGTTGACATTTCAACAATTTTGCAGGGACGAGATTTCAGAATCACAAACCCGTTTTTACGCAGGGCAGAGCACTGCATGGGGAAAGTGGAAGAAGCCCCAGCATCTCCAGTGTGGAAATCAATGTCATCTGACATATTGGTGGGTGTCTAATTTTACTGGGAAGAAAAAAGTTAAAATGTAAAAAAAACAGCAATACATTGTAAACCCCCCCCCCCCCCAAAAATAAAAATATAAAAGGCTTTTTTTG